CCCCCCCATTCCTATACTAGATGGGACGTCCCATGGTATGGAATACCCTGTTGGCCAGTTTGGGTCAGCTGCCCTGACTGTGTCCTGTGCCAACTTCTTGTGCCCCTCCAGCTTTCTCGCTGGCTGGGCGTGAGAAGCTGAAAAATCCTTGACTTTAGACTAAACACTACTTAGCAACAACTGAAAACATCAGTGTTATCAACATTCTTCTCATACCTAACTCAAAAACATAGCACTGTACCAGCTACTAGGAAGACAATTAACTCTATCCCAGCTGAAACCAGGACATTAATGAACAACGTAAGTATAGTATAGTAAGCTATGTGAAAAAGTGAGTGAATGGTTACCTGTTTTCTTTAGTTGAACATACTCATTTGATGGAGTTAGAAGCTCAACTCTGTATTTTTTTATTACTATTTTTTTTTTAAAGCCTTGGCAAAACAAGCTTTTCTGTACTTAAGTTGACAAGTCAGAAGAGTCTGCATGCCTAGACTATAAAAGTTGAAGTAGACCCTAAACTTTGAAACACAGGGACATATTTTTTCTCCCTTCCACTTTCTTATCCTTTCTTTTAGGGTTGATCAAACAATTTCTTCGTGACGTGGACTGGGGTGAAATCGACTACCTGATTGTAGATACGCCTCCAGGAACATCAGATGAACACTTATCTATTGTGCAGTATCTCAGTGCAGCACACATAGACGGTGCTGTTATAATCACTACCCCTCAGGTATGAGAACTTAATTCCCATTGATAGAAGCATCGTGGCAGTTAAAGCCAATCCTTGGTTTAGAGTCTCTATTTACCTTGAGAGAAATGATGGTACAGAATCTAAGGGAGTTGACTTTATTGTTCTGTGCCTACAGCTGGCTGGTTTGTGAGTTAAATGGGTGTCTCAGTGGAGTACACTCAGGGGATCTGAGTGGGTCACTAAAACCACTGAGCAGTTCACAACCAAGCTTTCATGATTTGTGTGGTGAAGGGAAAAGCAGTATTTCAGTTCCTTCTTCAAGATTAGAGTTTGCATCATTGCAAATCTGTAATTTACCTGCCAACGGCTTAATGCCCAGAAGTCAGTAAGAAGTTTAGTTTTTAAGTGATAAGATGCGCACTGTTTGACACCATGTGAAGTAGCCTGTTGCCTCCAGTAGGCAACTTTGTGATGTGCATTTTTAAAACAAAAATCAGTCCCTGGGGAGATGAAACAGAAAACACATCAAATTCAAACTTCGGCTTTAATGCCTGCTTTGGAAAGGAACAGGAGATCAAACTAGCAAAAGACACGTGGGATTTCTACAACAGCTGAAAGAATAAAATGTGAAGGAAGTGAAGTGGTGAGGGCGATATCAGATAGGTGGTGAGGGAAGAAGGGAACAGGAGAACTGAATGAGGTCAGGCATATATGCGAAAAGTCTGAGGGGATGATAAGCTATTTCAAATTTAATTTGAAAAGAGACAATAAGCATAAGCCTGGTGGTTCTTGTCCTTGCCTGCCCTATTGAGAATACCAAGGGTCTTTCTGTAAACTGAAAATGTAAAAAAGTTACATTTAAAGAACTAAAGATGTGAGATTAATATAGGACATAAAACATAAATACAGCTGAATCAAGTCAGATTTCAAAACAACCACGTTCAGTAGGCTAGAACTGTTGTACCTGTCCTGTTGCTAAAGCACATAACACAGGTTTATGTTCCTCAAAATATGAAGAGAGCAGTAATAATTCATTATGAACTTTCTTTAAAATAGCTCTAAGGATGTCACTTAATGGGTTTCAGCATCCAAACATTCCACTCAAAATAGCAGTATTTCCTAATACTTGTAGGAAGTATCACTTCAGGATGTTCGGAAGGAGATCAACTTCTGCCATAAAGTGAAACTGCCAGTCATAGGTGTTGTGGAAAATATGAGTGGCTTTATTTGTCCAAAGTGTAAGGTAAGGCTATCTGTATATTAAAGCATTTTTTTATCTTGATGTTGTCTGTGTATAAAACATTGCTCCAAAAATGCCTCGTTCTCAGAATTGCAATGTTTTAACTCTGGTTTTCATGTTGTCCCAGAATGAATCACAGATCTTTCCCCCAACTACTGGAGGTGCAGAGAAGATGTGCCAGAACTTAAATGTTTCCCTCCTGGGTAAAGTGCCTCTAGATCCTCAAATAGGTAAAGTTACTGTATTGCACTACATTTAAAACAAGTTTTTCCTCCTATACTGACGTCATTACTGGAAAACCCTGGCTTGGACACTGATAAATTAGAATATTAAACATTTTATCTCTTAGATAAATATCCACTTCTAGATACAACATTTTTTTGAATCAAAAGTTACTGGAACTGTGACATAGCTTGGTGTGAAAAGAGGAAAGCGCTAGGATAATTTCCTTAGCCTGAAACTTTGTCTTGATCAAGATTAGATTATGCATCTTTTCAGCTGTATAATCGTATTCGAAGTACAACATGTCTTTCTCTTTGGTGAAATCACCTGGAAGTGCAGACTGAGTAAAATCGTAACTACTGTGAAGAATAGTATCTTGTAGACATTAAGCATTAAAACTAGCGCTTTAACTTCACTGTTACTGGCACCACCCAAATTCTGTTGTGGATAGTGAGAAGGCCTGGTTCCTTGCCCACTGGCTATTACCAATTAATACTTGATTTAATAACATCAAGGAACAGGTCAGTACTTCCAAATAATGACTGAAGGTTTCTGCCAATAGTATTCCTTTGTAAAACTGTAAGCTGTAGTTCTAGTTACATTACTGACATAAGGATTTCTTAAAAGGAATAGATGCAAGTGGCTCTTTGGAAGGGTATAACTGGTAGCAGGATAAAGGGTAAAATAAAGAAAAGTTCATAATTTCCTGTTGCTTTGCTTTCCTGTTTTTCCCTGTCCTTCAAGGAAGAAGTTGTGACAAAGGCCAGTCTTTCTTATCTGAAGCACCTGAGTCTCCAGCTACATCGTCTTACAGGAATATCATTCAAAGTAAGTCTGAAAATCACTGTGCAAATGAATCCTCTCAGTTCTGAGCACTTTGGCAATACATAAAGGTGCTAAACAGAATTACGTTATTCTGCCACAAATAGTAAAAACAGATGGGCATAGCAATTATGAAAGTAACAGATGCAAACACTATGTTTGCTTCTGGGCATCAGTTAGGACAGGCTTTTAAAGTGATAATGAAACGGTATTTAATAACTGGTTTCAATGTTTGGTTTCAGTCGTTAATTTTCAGAAAAAATGAGTGTGTGCTTGCTCTCACAGAAAAGTTCTAAGATTCTCAAGCAGGCCTGTGGAGGAGGGGTGCTCACCATAGTTGAGTACGCTACAGCTGGCTGATTATTGCCTCCACTTCTAATTGTAATTGCACAAAAACCCCATACAAAAACTACCTAAAGAGCTGGTGATATGCAGTTTAAAAATACAAACAGCTGGGAAATTCCTAAAGCCATTTTCACTGTGATAAAGGCCCAACTTGTGATAATTTGTACCAATAGGGGACAGAGTGACGCAGCAATAACTAACTCCTGATGTGCAACTGAAATATTTATATTGCTTTTTCCCTGTCTTTGCAGGAATTCAGGAATACTGTGATCAACACCCTTTTCAAGAAGAGAAAATTATCTAATCTATGAATGGAATAAAAATGTAGTTCACATTTAATTATAGAAAAGTAACTTATGCCTTGATTTAATAGAAGGAATGTATTCTTTTTATATATTGCAAATAAATTCTTAACATAAATGTTCTTGCCTTAGTTTTTTTTTCCATAGTTCAAGATTCTTGTAGTTCACAAGTGGTCTCAAAGCTTGCTAGAAAGCTGTAAAACTGAGTCTTCGTCTGTGTTACGTAAGGAGCAACCTGCCTCCGGTGTCATGGTACTAACGACCTGAATATGAAGTTGGTGTTTGAAGACACGTGCATACAAGATGTTATTTAGAAAGCTGAATGTAAAATACAGTTCGCTGACATGGGGACGTTGTGTCTAATGTATGTACTATGCACGTGCATATCTTTCCTTTCAGTGGAAAAGATCTGTATTTAGAGGGAAATTCAGTGTAGTTGTGTCTCCTTTTTTTATAATTGGCATCAGCTTTAAAATAAAAACCTACTAGAATTTAGGCAAGTTAATTACAGTACAAGTACAATATTTATTACAGGTATTAGAGTAAGATATTTTAACTATTTATACATAACTGGTTGCTTCACACAAGTACTCTGTGAATGTGCTACATGACTTTTGTTCTTTCTTCTACTTGAGCCTAAGCCTGAACACTCAAAAAATAAACATTCGGTATCTTTACTAACTGGGAGGCCCTTTGTGATTGTAATTCCCCTTTTTATTGACAAATCAAAGCTTTGAGAAATCAGTATTGTGTAGAAGAGGGAAAGGCAGTTTGATTTTCTTTATTGTAGTTCCAAAATTAAACAAACGAGCATTGTCTTCTGATTACATTCTAATTCTTGGTTAAGGTAACCCAACAGTTTCATGTTAGTTGGCAGATTTTTTTTTTTTTTAAGGAAGTGTGGTCTGTATAAACCATAAGCATTGTTTTTGTGCCTATACAAACTGCTTTTTGGTGACACTTTTAAGTAACACAGACTCTAAAACTTTTCAGAATCTAAAGACTCAAACACAAATTACACAAAATCCTTATTATTTCATGCAGGTATAATTGTAGAAGTGCTTTACTTAAATACCTTCATATGAAGAACAGCTTTCATAAATGAGTATTTTTTACTGCTCATCCTTTTAGTTCTTTATTTCATTATCTAGTGCCTGTCTTCCCATGTACTTCAATGTGGCCTCCTGAAATCCTCCTTGCCTGTCCTGTAGAATGAACACAGAAGTGTGGGTGTTAGCGTAACCTACTACGTAGGAATCTTTTCAAAAAAGCAGGGAAGAGCCTGGTGGAAGCCTGAGGTTTGAAGATCGCTCTCCCAGCTATGCCTAAGCAGAGTCATTATAACACCTCAGAAGGCATCCCTCTGAGGATTTAACTTAGAGGACGTTCTTCTTGGGGCTTGGAAGCAGCTCAGCTATGCAGCTTCAGCAGGCTTCCAAATAGAGAGCAAAGTGACATGGGGTACAGCTCCTCCGAGCGAGTTCCACAAGAAAGGCTTATTGGAAAACCAAGATAGCCCTGCCAGGAGTTATTTTAGGAACTAAGACCCAGAAAGAGCCAAAACCAACAGCGTGAGGCAGGTCGGTATGTGATGTTTCATGGGCTATAGCTGATGGACCAACTCCGTACTTACTCTTGGGAACATCTGCTGTGACAAAAAACCTTGAAGTTACTCTGCTGATGCTTTTTTGTCCCCCTACTTTGCAGTGGATGTAGCCATATAAATTAGCAGTCTGAAGGGAGATCCCAGCTATCACAAGAGCCTGTGGACAAACAAAAGTTCAGCTGGGACAAATACACTGCTATCTATGGGCTGCATTTATAGAATGTATATACACACGTGTGTATATGTATGTATATATGCTACTTAGGTATACATACATGCTGTAAGAGGGGGACATTCCTTCCAATAATAAATTACCTTCAAAGAGATCCAATCATGTCAAACAACAGTTCCTTTCTACAAAATGCCTCTCTTTTTATCTAAACATTGATAGAAAATTTTTTTGTCATTCTGTATTTTGAAAGACTTCATTACTTTCCTAAAAGCATTTATTCAAAAAAGGACCTATTCAACTGATTCCATAATCATTTCACTCTTTTTAAGCCTGATTTGTATCTGAAAGTTTCACATCCAGAGACATAGCAAACCTGCAGGCTTGTTTAGCTGACAAATGCCTTATTATATACAAATAAGATCCCATAACTTACAGATTTACAAAGAGCATCGACAGATATCAATCAATATCTAGCATTAACAGGCAGTGAAAATAATTAGATCCTTTTGTGGTACTATAGGCTTAGCAGCAGGCAGAACCCATCTGATTGACTAATGAAATAGCTTACAAAAAATGTTTTTCTTAGCCTCAGAAACAGTTTCCTGGAAGCTATCCTATTTTCATTTGTGTAACTTGCCTTTTACAAGCACCTGAGCAACCTGCCTCCAGGGCTGGTTAGGGTTCCTTCTCCAACCAGCTCTTAGTTTAGCAGACAATCTCTGGTTTTCAAAAAAAAAAAAAAAAGGTGGAGCTGTGGAGAACGACTGCTGGTTTAATTTTAACTATTGCTTGTTTAGGTATGCCATTTGGGGCACTAGAAAACAGCTAATGATTTGCAATTGATTCATACCCACAGCTGAATTTCCTGTTTCATTTAATAATAAAATGTAATCTTGGCTATTACTGGTTATGTAGCTGCACATGTCCAAGACACTTTTTATCTTTTCAAATGGAATTAAGAAATTATACTTAGCATGGCTAGGAGCTTGACAAAATGAATTCTATGGTGATTATCGAAGCACTTAATGTTTACGGGGGAAAACATGAAGGTTTCATAGACAACAATATCTTAACATAATGCAATATATGGGGTAAATTTCTTCTTGTATTTAGAAAAATGTGTAAGGTTTTTCTTTTTTTTGTAGACTAAATGGCTTATAAATACAGTATAAAATACACACTTATAGCTCAATTTATCAAGGTTTTAAGCACTATGATACTGTTTTTTTCAAAAGGGAATGGTACCAGAGATCTAAAATCCTTACTTTTAAGGGGAAGTAACATTCAAGTCCCAAGGAGATGTGAAAACCTGAAAACCAGCATCACTGGTTCATTTTTTGTCCTCTCCTGTTAGTTTCCTTTGACTGAAATAAGTGGGGGAAAAGTAAGTTGCTACAGTTAAAAAGAAGTCCGTAATTTTGCCAAGCACTTAAGTTTCTCAAGTTAGATGAAGGAGTTGACATCTGATAACCTAGTGGAAGTGGGGCTAAAAATTACTAATCCATTCCAGCGCACAGGGCTTGACTGCAGAAAACTCATTGTGATTTCTTGAAGCTGTTTGTTAGCAGAATTTTTGTACTGTTGGAAGATTTGGTTCAAAGACTGTTGCAAAACTAACAGATCTGGGTTTTCCCTCTATCAACACTGTCCATCAGCTATAGGTCTTTCAGTACCCCCAGACTTACCAGCCATTTCAGCTTCAAGGAGAACAAGGTGCTAAAGAAAAACATTGTCCAAATAACTGGACAGATAATGAGGCCAAGCCAAAAGATTCGAGCTTCAGCTTCAGTTGAGGCAGCTACTGTAGGCACCTAGAATGAAAATTATTGAAACTACTAGTCACAAAGACAAAATCCACAATAAATAACAAATTAGCAGAGGAGGAAGAACGGACAAAATTACTTCTTCACCTAAATTTCACTTATTATATGCATAGAAGGAAGACTGAATAAGAAGAGAAGTAGCAAATGCCAAGTTTTCTGCCTGCTGCCCTACTGTACGTGACAGCATTTTCTTTTCAAAATGTTCCGGTCTCTGTTCACATTCAAGTGAGATAATTATTCCTTTTGTCAATGACAGCTCCCACTAACACTACAGATTAGTAGTATTTTAAAGGCAAAGTTCTGTTACACTGACAATTGCTTTTAAAATTCAGAAATAGTAAGTTAACTTCTACATTAGATTCAAACTTTACCAAGGCCTTAGAAAAGTGTGAAACAGGAAGACAGTGTTACAAGCAGAACTTTAGTGTGAATACTTCACTGTCTGTAGTGTAGGTTCACAAATCAAAAGCGGGGGGGGGGGGAATCAGTCTAGTATCAGAAAAGCTATAGTATCTAATGTGGAAATCGCAATGAGCTGTTGCAAGTGCTAACAAGCAAATTTTAAAGATCCCCCACAGGATTTATCAGGTGGTTCCAGCTCAGACAATGAAATTCTCATAATGGTGTCCACTTCCATACATTTTCTTAAAAATGTGCAGTATCTTAGCTTAATTTAAATCTTGCATGAAGTTTAGTTTTCTATTACATAAACTAATACTTCAGTTATGCTTGTGAAATCCACTGATATTCCATAAATTAATAACTGTAGCTTCAAAAATGCCTCTTCTGTAATACTAGTGTTGGACACCATAGTAACTGCTGGCGTCTCTCTGAAAGAGGCATTGTTATTCACGGTGCTTTATTTGGGTTCTTCAGGGAGAGCAAAAAAAGCCTCAAAGCAGGCTGCAAAAAGCCCTGGTTGCAGATTTCTTCAGGTCAGCACAACCCATGTGTCTCTATCTGCACTGAAAGGCTCACTGTTAACTCCTAATGCTTAAAAGAACCTAAAAAAAGAGAATTGTTCAGCAGGTTCTGATCTTTCCTAGGAGACCAGAATTCAAAATCTCACTCTGAACCTCTGACCACTCAACCACCACTAGTGCTAGCTTCTGAAATACAAGCTTCACAACTGGAAAAAGAAAACCCTGTGGACTCTGAAAACTGAAGAGTTTTAGTTCATTTTCAGTATCTGGAATTCTCCATGTAAAAACAACTCATCCATCCAACCATCCATCCATCACGAGACAGACAACATCATCCAACTTGTAAATACAGTTAAGTTACTCTATCTTACCTAAGAAAACCCTGAAAGATGCAATAATTACAAGGTGTCTTTAATTTTTTCATGTACCCTCTAAACCAGTGATGTTGCAGCAGTCCAGAGAATAATGTTCTATGCCTTCACAGTTACAGAAAAAGACAGATGTTGAGTCAATAAAAGGGCTATCACCTGTATCCCAAATAACCCAACAGTAACATTGCATTAGCACTATTTACAAGAAAAAAAAAAAAAGTCAATATACCTGAGAGCTCTGCATCTAAAAGACCTAGGTAATTTGATGAGCAAGATTACAAAAGGCTGCAATCATCCCAAAGAAAAGAGAGGGGAGTTATGGTGTTTGGAACATAAGTGTAAGAATTACTTTTTTTCCAGCAAACCTCAGCAGAAGACAGGATTTCAAGGACAAACCTCTGCAGCATCAGCAGCGCACCAGGAATTAGCTGTTTATTGTTGGTGAGTGACTTGGAATGTTTCTAAGCAAATTAACCTGTAAAGCAAGAGGGTAAACTTCAAGGCCAGATTGGATGGGGCTTTCAGTCAACCTGGTCTAGTGGAAGGTGTCCCTGCCCATGGCAGGGGGGTTGGAACTAGGTGATCTTTAAGGTCCCTTCCAACCCAGACCGTTCTATGAAAGCAAGAGATCTTAAAAAGTTGCCAGAGGACTGGCAAAGGAGGTGGAGAATGCCTGACTGTGGAAAGTAAGAGAATTGCATGTATTCCAGGACCTTGCCATGACAAAGTACTCCTCATGGCTAAACCATGACAAAAAACACAATCCACTCTAATGACATGTTCCTTCTAGTGGTACTATGATTTTCACATTAATCAAGCTACCATTTGCCAAATTTTTTTGAAGGCTTTAGCCCATACAGATGAGTCAACTTTGTACCTGTAGGCTAGAATCAACAAACTGTAATAGGTGAATTAGGCTTGCTCATCTCACAGGAATTTTGAGGTCGGGAGGTCATTTTATTGATACCATTGCTATTAAGTGCTAAGAAAGCTCTTGTTTATTGTCTCGGCTTGACAGAAGTAAGAAACTCTGAAGCTCTTCTAGTTTCTTTGCTTTCATGTAGGCTTGCCTGTACTCTCTCTCCGGGTTTCGCCTGGATCACAGGAAGAAGGTGAGCACCTGTTACCCTCTCAGCGGTGCGCAGCCCCCCCGCCGGCTGCGCTCCTGCCCGGCCGCACTCTCCTTGCAAGCGGCCGCAGGGCTGCTAGAGGGCACTCCAGACCTGCACAGCCACAGGGGTTACACCGGGCTCGGAGCCCAGGCTGCGTGCACGGCTGGGAAGGGACGTCCGAGTGGGTACCGCTTGAAGTCGTGTTCTACCAGGCTCTCGCCTGAACGGGGCTGTAGAGAGGATGTTAGCAAATGAAAGCAAGAACCTGCGGTCTTGACCCTGGCAGCGATGCCAAGCGCCATTTTATAGCTTTTGTGCTCAGGGTGGTTTGGGGGAGCACTAGCAGTATGGGAATGCTCTGTGATCTGGGTTCTATTCCCCACCGTATTCCATGAGCATGAATAAAATACTCATTTTACAATACTGAATTTGAACTATTCAACATTGCTTTCAACATAGATCTTTCCTGAAGAGGATTCTATGTTGCAATTAACCGTGGGAAGATGTGTTTATTACAAAATGTTCTCACTAAAAAATAATAGAACTACCAGAAACACATCATACCTACAGTACCATGCTATGAATATCTGTGCTGCTGATGCATATGATGACGATGTTGTGAGACCAGTTTTGTCCTGAATGCTTCCTGGATGTGACAATCCAGTGTGCTTGCAACTGAATACTTACATTATCTTCTACAGAAGCTGGACAAAAAGTAACCATTACAAAGGCGCTCTATTTGTTACTTTATTTGACATAATATCAGCTTTACAAGCTTTCCTATGGATTCTGCTTGTCCTGTGCCTATGTTTATTAACATACTTACCCTTTTTGCTTCAAACACCCAGTGGCTTTTTCCATCTTCATCAATCTGGTTCCACCAACGCAAACCAACTAAGAGTCTTCCTGTCACGTTCTAGTGACAGAAACAATTATTTGAATTAATCAGTCGCATAATCCACTTGTCAGACTAACTTTAAAAAAAAAAACGCAAGCATGTCTGAAAATCATATTCTTTTATCAATTACTAAAACTAATTCTAAAAGCTGTGCCAGCTTGAGCGCAACAGTCATTAAGGATGGATTACCACAAATTGAGAGGCCTGTTCTCTTCTTCTAATATGATGATTAGCACAATAACATTGATTTAGGTAAGAAATTACAGGATGTATCTTTTCTAAGTCAGTTAGTTGGAGAAACCCCCAATAAACAAATTTCCTCAGTCAGACAGGAGAACTGCAAACAAAAACACACTGAAAAAATGGAAGATTAATTACAAGCAAGCAAGCTGTGTGGAATCAAGCAAACAAATTAAGAAAATATTTCTGCACCTGGATGAATACTAGAAGTTTTCAGTATACTGGAGATGCATCAATGCCTCACTTCTACAAAACAAAAGCCTTGTTCCACATGTGGAGCCCCTGGGATTTTGGGCTGGCCTGACCCACCTGCCTGCATGTGATTAGGGCACTAATGCCGTAGTTGGGCCCCCAGGAGCCTTCTGCAGCTCCTGCCTGCTGGGTCTGGGCACAGTACTGCAGCTTTAGACATCCTTTGGCATCCGTTACTGAAAGTCAGTATGACTTTCTTTCTTTCTTTTTTTTTTTAAGGAGGAAAGCATACAAACAAATCTACCTACGGCAAGGCAATTTTCTCACCATATTAGTAGCTCCCATCAGCCATAGAGAAGAGTTAACAGTAACTAAGATATATAAATGTCTTAATTAAATGGGTTAGACATTTAATAAATCACCAGATCACAATGTCTTTGTCACTTTCATCAGTATACATATTTCCTTTTTTCTTTTATTTAATGGCACATAAAATACTTTCAAAGGTAATTACTATTCAGGGTCATCTTACCTTAACTGACCAAAAGTCAAAGGATAGAAGAAGGAGAATAGTGACAAAACAGGCAACAAAACTGTTGCTGAACCAGTCACAGAACAAGTAGGTAATAATAGCACTCACTCGGAAAAACAGGTGGAAAAAGGTGGCCAGTGGGTGCCTAGAAAAAAAAAACAAAAAAAACCCAACACAGAGCACTTAGGAAGTTATGGGACAAGAAGGAATGTTACAGTATTTCCTAACAATGTAGCATAACACAACTACTTTTACTCTATAATGGTATTTTGGTTTGTAGCTGCTATTATTTCATATGTTGATGTCTATCTTCGTTATCAAAGCAATAGTACTTCCAATAGCCAACCTTCAATCTAAAGCTAAAAGATGGAATGTGTTATTCATGTCAAAACTTTCTCAAAGATAGAACAAAACCTAGAGTCTTTCACCTGTTTCTTTGGTACTGCATGAAGGAATTTAGTGGTTGTATTCAACACTGTACCCTTAAATCCTCATCGTTTCATGAAATAAATCGGCATTGCAAGGCACAAAAGAATTGAGACATCTTACGCCTTTCAGAACTGTTCTGAAAACAAGAACAGGAACTCTGAAACCAAAAAAAAAGTAAAAAAAAATATAGCTGTTGGGTCTAAGACAAAATGAACCTTCATATGTAATGTCTGAAACCAAACACTTCCTTTTACAGATTTGGGAATCTAACAGTTCTTATGAATGAATGTTCATTAATTTCACTAGATACTTGTGCTTTGCTCATCACACTAAATTTTGTCCATAACAAAATAAAGGAGAATTTCAGTGGTAGAAGTAACTATATGGCATAGAATATTGGCCTGTACAGTAAGACAGGGGTGTTGGAGTATGCTATATTGAGCACAGGACAATTTTCAGGGTAATATGCCAACTACAAAAACTTACTTCTGTACGTTGTGTTTGTGTTAATTAGTTTAAAGTGACAATTAACTAGAGGCTATTGCATTTAAGTAACTTCTTCCCTTGAAGCTGAGTGATTAAAACTCGTTTTCTGAATATTTTTTAACTCAGCGATTGCCTTATTAAGCTCCTCTACCTCTGTAAACAAGTAACAGTAGTATGGCCTAGGTCATAATATACTATTTACCTATTAAATATGTTTTTCTATTATTGTGTATAATAAAATGATACATATAATATACACGCAATTAAAATTGTTTATTATAAACTTAAATTATAATTGTAATAGTTATATTTATATCTTTATTGTAATATTATTCTATAGCTGTTTAACTGTTCTAGTAATTATCTATTCTAGAATGGCAATATTGTGCTTGTAGTACTACACACACATGACTGGAGAAGCAAGAATGACACACAGCTGTAGTTTATGTTTACTCCTGATCATACCCACGCTAACCTCAAACTTTCCAAAAACTTAATTCTGACTTAAAACTAAACATGTGACATTTTAAGTGAAGGGAGCTTTTTCTGCCATAAGCAGATGGGTGGGTGGGTGGGTGGAGCAGAGGGAATATTGTGAACTTTAAAAAAACAGTTAGTGTCTTGCTACTTCAAGTCTTGATCTTGTTCAAGATGATGTAAGAGTTCGCTACATCGCTACACAAGTGGTATCTTGTGCCAATACAAGCTATTCATAGTCACAACCCTAAAGCATTCAGGATGGACTGAGCTTTCATAACTGTATCAGTGGTTCAAATGTGAAAGTAACTTTAGAGAAGTAGTGTTTCATTTTGGAAGTCAGATGATGAATTACTGTTTGGATGCTGAATAATCTGTTCCAACATCAAGCTTTGAAGGGTGTCTACTAAAAAAACAGTACGTAAGCAAGAGGCTCACATTTATTACAGCGCTAAACACTTTATTGAGACTATAGAATATCAGTCCTCTCACAAGGATATGGCTAGCTAAGCCAAAGGCACAGACTTGCAGGTTCTTGTCCTAGGGGAGGAATATGGAGGTATATCAAAATTTGTACCTCATTCTTTAGACAACTCTCAATCTCAGAAAATGTCTACCTATTTATGCTTTTAAAAAAAACATAATTCTGAAGCTAATGGAATCCAGTAGATAAACCATTCACTTCCTCACCTAACAGAACAAATGTATTTTCTCAATCCACAGCCATTCAGACGAAACTTATAGCTCCTATCATATACGAACAGAATTTTTAATGAGATAATCCCACATAGATAAAATTGTCTTTTAAAACCTGAAGCTAAACCATCTGCATCCTTTTTGAAACAAAAAACTTTACAGCTTTTCTTAAGTGAAGGCATTTATATTGAATTGAAATCAATTTTACTTTATAAATATTTTTAAAAGCTAATTTCCAGAAATACAATGGCATTAAGGAATCATTGTATAAACTCACATGATTTCTTGTACTAATGGAAGACAGTATAGGCTTTAGAATATGGTAACTTTTTTTTTTCCATTCAAATCTGATAAAGGTAACTAAAACTCTACATTGGCTCTGCTTACTACACGTTTGCTCCTGAAGGCATAGCAACCCACTTGCTTGGACTTTTAGTTATCCTGTTGCATCTAAACATCCATATAGTGTAGAACTGGAGCCTTAAGGCTAAATGGTTACCATTTATCTTGTTACAATAAGCTCTGTTCAGTTTGCAAGCATGATGCCTATTAGGATAGGAATGAGCTGTTATGAATTTAGTTGCATCCCATATTCAAGAATCAAACTGGGTCAACCCTAAGGTATGCTGCTGAACCACAGGAGAATCATTCCCAGTACCTGCCCAGAAGTGCCAAGGCAGAACTTTATATGCTACTTCTTATACCTCTGTCTGGTACTTCAAACATATCTAGGCAAATTTTGAACAGGCTCTCTGGCTTGATGATCTTGTGTGACCTGGCTGACTTGAAAAAGAAGCGACCATATGCTCTTAACTGTTCCAGATCAAATGTTCTGGTACTGCAATGAACTGCAAAGATGGTGTAAGTTATCTTTTTTCCTAACCTTCTTATGAAAGTAGCCACTAACTAAATCACTATCTGCATACCTTTTGCTTTTAAGGAGCACTTGCATATACCTTCGAGAATCATAAACGCACAACTTGTTATAGCTTATGCGAATTCTAACCAAGTTCAAGATATATGAAATTGGGATAAAGTTAAAGACAAATGATTGGAACATGTTGTTATGCTCTCTAACAAGACAACAAAATTTTGCAGCACGTGGGTGTGTTCCAGGCTTGTTTGCACAAGATTCTTCAGAAATATAAAAACAAACTTCTGTGTGAACCATGTAAGGAGTTTCATTTCTGTATTCTATAGCAGAATGTTTTTCAGTATGTCGTGGTTTAACCCCAGCCAGCAACCAGGCACCATGCAGCTACTTGCTCACTCCCCCCACCTCCCACTGGGATGGGGAAGAGAATTGGGAAAAGTAAAAACTTGTGGGTTGAGATAAGAATGATTTAATAACTAAAGTAAAAGAAAATGCAATACTAACAATTATAAAACATAATAATAATGAAAAGGAATATAATAAAATAAAATTTAAAAAAACAAACCATGAAAAAGACAAGTGATGCAAAACGCACCTGCTGACCAATGCCTGAGCAGTGATCTGCACCGACACACACCCCCCCTCTGCCAACTCACCCCAGTTTATATACTGTGCATGACATTCTATGATATGGAATATCCCTTTGGCCAGTTTGGGTCAGCTGTCCTGGCTATGCTCCCTCCCAGCTTCTTGTGCACTTGCTCACTGGCAGAGCATGGGAAACTGAAAAAGCCTTGACTCAGGATAAGCACTACTTAGCAACAACTGAAAACATCAGTGTGTTATCAACATTAGTCTCACATTAAATCCAAAATACAGCACTGTACCAGCTACTAAGAAGAAAATTAACTCTATCCCAGCTGAAACCAGGACACAGTATGAAATTATCTTTTAGTATTGTCATAATGAGGGCAAGAAAGAAGAGCAGTCTCTAATCAAATAAGTATCTACACAAAGTGGATCAATCAATAGTATGGTTTTATACTTTGCCTGTCTATATTATCAAGTACCGTAAACCAGTAGGAACAGATCTCTGAACTGGTGCTGTGGACCTCCTACAAACGTTTCAGGGTGGTTTTACTTCATACTAACTCTGGTCTCGTCCCATAGACTGAATCCGTGGCTCGTGTGCTCAAGACACACTCCTAAGCTGTATTTCCCAGTTTAGGCTATGTTCTCCAAGACTGCACCAAAATATAAACCTTCACTTAAAATGTGTGCTGCTACTAAAGCACAGAAACAAAGCAACTCTGGGAATATTAATCTTGTGTCATGGCTGACTCATCGTGTAGTTGTAAAGTCCCGTGCACTGGAAGGGCAGACATGCTTCACTGGAGACTAGTAAAACAGAGTAATTGTATTGTAAAGCTACATATGTGATTGCTTGTTTGCGCATCTCAGATAACATTTGTGTTAGGCTTAACATCTCTTATTTTTCTTTGTTTACAGCTACAAGAAATATTAACCTTGTAATGGACCAGAGTAAACTGGGGCAAGGTGGAAAGAAGAAAGCAATATAAATCAAAGCTGATTATACATTATTGATGAGTGCATGCGTATGTATAATTCCTCTTGACATAAAACTCTTCCCTTGACACTCTTTGACTGGAGATTCTTCAAAAGCCACAGATGGAACAACAGCTCTGTCGCCCGGGACCTCGGTGCGGACAAAGCTGCAGTGACACCTCTGGTAATGTAGCGGGTAGACGGCTTAACCTGACAGATAAGATGGATCAATGGGTTGAGTTTTCTCCGGTAACAGCTACAAGGATAAGATATAGTATATTTCATGTAACATCATGTCCCGTGGAAGGAAAACATGGCAGCTTCATTGCAAATAACTTCCCATTTCCCTTCAGCTGGGCGTGCGACGCAATGCCCAGAGCGCTCTGCTGCACAGCTGGTTTTGCTGAAGACCAGAGCTCTCTCCACTTGCGCAGCTCTAACAAAACCACCGTTTGGGTGTTGTGTGTTTTGTGAATACGCTGGCTGTGGGTGTGCAAAGCTTCTGATTCCAAGGGCAGGAGGGCGCCGAGCGGCTGGGCTGGCCGCAGCGGTGCGGCTGGCGGGGCCCTGGGCCTCGCCGGCTCCGGCCCGGGCAGCCGGAGCTGGCTGCCCGGCACCGAGCATCCCCGCCACGGGGGCAACCCGTTCCAGCGCTCCACCGCCCTCCCTGTAAGAAACGGGAATCAAGCGTTTAAAGGGAATCGCTTGCATTTCAGTGCGCCGGCCCAGCCGGAGCGGCGCGGGCTGCCCGGGCCCGGCTACCTCAGGCGGGCGCCGCGACGCTGAGGCCTCCGCGGCGG